TTAGGCTTATGCTTCTCCTGACATGACTGCCCTTATAGGGTAGGTTTTGGGTCCCATTGGATTGTCAAGGTTCAGAGCTCTTTTATCTTCAGTTTCCTCTGACTTGTTTTAGATTATGGTGCTATAGTCTTCCAGAATGTCTAGGGCTTCTAATGCTTACATTAGAAGCTGTCCCAATCTGGATGGTTTTTTTGGCTCCTGACCTGAATCCACAGTCATATTACCAAAGGTTTCCACACACTTTAAGCTTGCTTATCTGAGTCCTTCACTCTTTCTGCCCTGGGGTAAAGAGTACTGGAGGTTTTAAGTATTTCTGGAACATCTCTGTTTAACACTGTCAAGTTTCTAGCTTATTTTGTCTGCATTTGCTCTGGTTTTTATAGTATGTCCTCTTTCCTACCATTTTAAGATTTCTGGCTAACTTTTTTTGTAAAATCCTGGGCTGCATAAAAAATAAAAAAACCTACTGTAATATGACTTAGGATATCTTGATCATTATTCAATCTGATGCTATTTTAGTCTTTGATGGAATACATATACGAGCTTGGCTCTTTATCCAGAAGTATTTTCCTTCCCCTCTCCCTGGTCAGACTATTTTAAATTATTTTAAATATTTTTTAAATAGCTAGCATTTATACAGCACTTTGAGGTTTGCAAAGTACTTTACATATGTTATCTGACTAATATGCTGTTCCATATAAGTAGAAGCATTTTCCATACTGAGAATTCTAACATGGATAAAATCATCAATTTGGGCAAAAAAATTTAGCAAATTTTAGATATTGTCCTCATCATAATCAATAAACATGTATTGGGTGAACTTTGTCATTAATACACTCTTTTGCTCCTCTGTAAAAATGTGTCTAGCCATAACAATGCTCTTATTTGGAAAAGGAAACACCCAAGAGTTGCACATCTGGGGCCCAGGTCTAGAAACTCTAGAAGTGTTGGGAAACTGTCCTGGATGTTACCTTCAAAATCATCTAATTAACCCTTTACTTTAAAGATGTGTAAACTAAGGGACAGGCAATTAAGCAACTTTCCAAAGGTCACATAAATTGAAAGCAGCAGAGTTGGGGTCCAAACTTAGGTCTTCTCACTCCAAATCTAATGGTCTTTCTACAACACTATAGGGATTTACTCTAAATCTGGATTGTGCCATAGCTGATACTATAGATAATATAAATAAATGAATGCCATGTTAGATGATATTTAGGTTCAGCTCTTACTAGAGAAACAACATGGCAGAAGAAAGAGAGCCAGGAAGGCCTAGGTTCAAGTCCCACTTCTGACATCGTAGACCTAGCCACAGGGAAGGTACTCACTTGCATTGGTAGGAAGAGGAGGTGGTTCCTTATCTAGACATTTCTCATACCAATGAAATCTCAGGTCCTATTCCTAGCCCTACCCCTAACTTACCAAATCAAGGTAAAGAGAGGGTGGTAGCAAAGTACAGAAGAGTGTTGGGTTAAAATAGTTTGTTGTTGTAGTCCCCGTGGCCACTTTCTCCTTTCCTCCTCCCTTTCTAGTCAATCTAGTAAGTTTATAAGTAGCCAGTATAAAGGGGGCAATAGCATGAAATAAGATGGCAAAGGGAAACCTGGAAGTCACATACAAATCATCCCAAAAATCAAAAGAACATAATTTATAAATTGTATCATATATTAACCAAGCTTCACATCCTGGGAATATGTGCTGAATCAAGGGAAGCCATGTAAGCGCTACCATCAAGGTTTCTGATCCTATAATACATAGAGTCCAGACAAATTCTAGACCTCCCCAGTTCCAGGCCAGCAAAACATCAAAAAGGTGCTAATAACTTTGTGATGTGAAGTTTTATGGATAACTTTGAGGTGATTGGGATATGTTAACGAATAGTTGGTCTGTTTTTCAAAAAAAAAACCAAACTATAAAAATGAGACCTCAACCTCCTACTTCCCTGCACCTGCCTCTTCCATCTCCATAGGGTCCATTGGGTCGAGGGGTACCAACTAATCCATGGTTATGTGTAAAGGATATTCTCCACCCCTCTGCCTCTTCATTCACTTTCCCATGCTGTCTGCCTTCTTTCAATGCCCCATCTTGTTCCCCAGCCTCCATCTGCCTCTGAATCTCTCCTGGACTTTCACTGCTTGTCTCTCTGTTCTGTACTTTTCCCTCACACTCTCTGTGGTTATTAAATTGTGATTGCTGCTCAGTTTCCTGCTGCCTTTTGTGGTCTTTCCCAGTGAGTTAAAAACTGGTATGCCTCCCCTCATTTCATAATTTTATAAATTAATTATCAATTCATCTGTCTTCATATTAGCCATTGAAACCTGGTTTAGAGTCTGTGCTCCCTACCCCAAACTAAAATCCAGCTCATTTTCCAGCATTCAGATTCCTCTGGCCAATAAAGGATTCAAATAAGTATCAAAACAAACTTCAAATGATGGATTAATGGAAACATCCATACTGTTTATTTGTAATTATAGAAATTATTTCATTATCTAGAGGGTCATGGCAGACATTTGAGGGTTTGATGAGTGTGCTGATAATGTGAACATCCTTATACTCCTAGAAAAGAGGAAAAAAATGGAAAATGGCAGATTTCCTTGGAATTAAATGCCATTGTTTTAAAAAGAATTACTGAGGATCTACTCATTCTGTTCACATTAACTGATTCAAATAAGTGACAAAATAACAAATGAATGAAATGCAAATGCTTCCTTTTAACATATACTTTCCGAAGATAAAAAAGTCCACAAATGTAGTTCTCAATTTCTAGCTTGGAAAAACCAGAGACTGAGTGAGAGATAAGCCACTCTTGTATTCCTTGTCATTGGGATTGCTGAATGGAGAAAATTGAACCCCAACTTTGATAGCCTCACCTCCTCCCTCTCTCCTTCTTGCTCTGGTATAGTTAGCGGGTTTTAGAACCGAGATGGCACAAAGAATATGGGCACTTTTGTACATAGCCATTTATAAGAGGCAACAGGGCCATGATGTAGTGGAAAGGGAGCTGGCTTCCAGGTCAAGATGGATAGATAGATGGATAGATAGATGGCTGGATAGATAGAGAGAGAGATGGATAGATAGAGAGATGGATAGATAGATGGATAGATAGATAGATGGATAGATAGATGGATGGATAGATAGAGAGAGAGATGGATAGATAGATGGATAGATGGATAGATAGATAGATAGATAGATAGATAGATAGATAGATAGATAGATAGATAGATAGATAGATAGATAGATGGGATGGATGGATGGATGGATGGATGGATGGATGGATGGATGGATGGATAGATAGATAGATAGATAGATAGATAGATAGATAGATAGATAGATAGATAGATAGATAGATGGATGGATAGATGGATAGATAGATGGATAGATAGATAGATGGATAGATAGATGGATAGATGGATAGATGGATAGATAGATAGATAGAATTTATTAAGTGCTTACTTTGTGCCAGGATGACTTGGGTACAAGTCTTGCTTCTGATACATGTTGGCTATGGGCAAGTCACTAACTCTCAGTTTCCCAAGAAACTTTCTGAGACCCTAAATTGCACAACAGCTGAAGATTTGCATGGCTAATGGGAATTTCTTGTCGAAGAACTCCCTAACACTGATTAAGTACATCACAGGTCTGGACAAAATAAAATTCTAAAAGACAACTCAACCAGCTGCCATTTGGTAAGATGTTTTTGAAATAGCTTTTCTGCACCATTCCCCACCATCTTGAACTTTCTGCAGTCATCTTTCAGGAAAATAAACTAAATAATGTATGGCAATTAGAAAGCAAATAATAAAGCCCTCTCTCTTATTAGCTTTTAGTAAGAGTGGAAGCTCTTATTAAGGAAAAATAGACTTTAGGAGGTTAGTAATTTTTAAATAAAAAGACACTAGCTAAAGAAAGACGAGAATTTTAGAGCTACAGTTCATCTTATTCAATCTCTTCATTCCTCAAGGGAGTGAAATGAGACTCAGCACTGTGAAATCACTTGTCACAGGTTACAATGGGGTGAGGGGTAGAACCGGATCCGACTACCAAGTCCATTTTTCTTTCTGCTAAATTCTATTTCTAATGTGATTTTTTGAGTTGAACACTCTGTGGCTCATTGAAAGGCTTATAAAAGAACTTTCCTCAAATGGTGCATAAAGATCATGGACCACAGGCCTTATAAATAACACAACCTATAATTAGGCAAATCCCAATATATGAAAAGTCAGATTTACTGAACAAATAAATTAGGTGGTTATTCACTTTCCAAAATAATTCAGTTCCCTTTTGTGAATATTAAATTAGATTTATTTGTTAAAAACTGATTTACATACAATTTTTCAGGAATGCATCTTTTGTGCTAAGTAAAAGTGTACTTGTATTAGGCTAAGCTTCATTACAAGGAGAGTTCTATTTCTATAGAAGGTGTTCCCCCAGATCTGGGGTGCCCAAGCAGTCATGCTTCATCTTATTAATTAACTAGCCCTCAGAGAGCACCAAGCAGTCAAGCAATATCCAGGCTAAATTTTCACCAGCTGTGGAAAGGGAATTCATAAGATCATAGAGGCGGGCATATGTGTAGACCCAAAAGGGATGTCACATATCTCATCCTGCTCCCTCATTTAGAGAGGCTAAGGTGCATGGAATGGCTTGCCCGAGATCACACAGATGTCAGAGGCAGGGTTAAAAACCAGGTACTTGTGTACCTGCCCACTGCCCCACATCTGCCATCACTGGTACACTCCTCCAACCCTTCTCAGCTTTAACTGTTACCTTTCCTGGGGTTTTTAATTTTCTTAAGGCAATAGAAACCTATGGACTAAGTTAGAAAATAAGTTTGTGCCTGGAAAAAGAAATCATTCTCTTCAATAAGTACAGAAAAAAGCGAAACTGAATGAGAAAGCTTATCCATCAGGTTTACCAAAATAGTGATGGTTTTGTTTTTTGTTTTAATATAAGAAATAACTGGAAACCCCTCCTAATAGCATCTGTGGCCTTGTCACCAATCATAGAATTCTATTTATTTTATTTGTAAATACCTTTGGGAAACATAGACTGACTGTTTGGGAAAATATGGCTTCTCATACTTCTGCCTATACTTTTCTCTTTTGTTACCCCCTCTTTCTCCTGATGTAAATCATTCTGGTGGTTAATCATTGCTCAGATTATAATTGATAAAAATTAACACCATTCCACCTACCAAACCTTCCTCTTTGAAAGCTATGAATTCCTTTTTTTAGTATTGATTTTGTATATCACTTCCATGTTACCTCCCAGACAGAACTGAGGAGGTAATTCTACTCATTTGCAGATACATAACGAGACTATATTCTGATATAAATGCCTTATTTATGTAATTGGGTGTTCTGGCTGACTTCTTCTGAGGGCCAGGGAAAAGACAGGAAACATGTCTGTGAATTGTGGGAATCGTGGTCTCAGATGCTAATGTGCTCTCCCTACCCTGGGAGTGAGTAAGACTATCCCAGTCTTTGATGGCAACAGAAAATTTTCCTAGTGGATCACAGCATGATGGGGGATAGTGGAAGGGGGGAGCAGGAGGAAGAAAGGCTCAGGAGAGGGGGCTCTGAATCCACTCTGCACAGAGGCCAACAATGGAATGTACTTAGGGCTTGGTTCTCCAGCTTGTTCCTTGGCCCACTCAAAGTATTCTGTGGGGACAGGGCCAAACTATTTCTCTGAGAGAGACTGAAGAAAACAAGGAAAAATACTTTTCCTTCACACCTCCCCCTCGGCATCCACCTCCACAAGCAGGTGGTTAGCATTTACTCCAGAGTTTCTCTATCCTTTAAAACGATGATCTATCATAGTTTTATTTCAAAGGTGACATGTTTTCAAAGACCCAAACTAAACCCAAAGTCAAGAACAGAGGAAGAGTTTGGCCCACCCTACAGCGTTGGGGTCTTGGGATGGGCTCTGGCCATAGCAGGCCCCTCCATTGTTTGTCTCCTTCCTGAGGGCCCCTCAGCTTCTGCTGCTGGCCTAGTCAAAAAGTCCCTGAGAGGTTGCACCCCATCCTGGCTCAGACAACAACAGTCTCACCCCTTCCTTAGGGCAGGAAGAGAAGCCATCTGTCTGGGGCCACCATTCCCATGATGCAGTTTGGGTATCCACTTTATCCCTTTGTCTGCTGAGGAAATCAGTTGAACCCTAGGTTACATTAAGAAGGAAAAAAAAACTGTCACGTTTAAATATCACTATCTCTCCACAGTGAAAGGTGTCTGTTTCTCTAAGGTCCGTTCACATGCTTAAAGGTCTTTCCTCCTGCAAAGCCATTCATTCATCTTGTCCTCAGTCTTCATTTTTTCTCCTGGAACCTTGACAGGCACATTTCAAATGTTCAGCACTGGGTGCCGAAGTGAAACAAAGCGACCGGTTTCAGAGACAGCGTGACATGAAAAATACAGGAAAAGAAGACAAAATCTTCACAGAGCAAGTCCAGCAAGCTTTTGGTTTTTGGTTTTGATTTCAGGGGAAACAAATTCCTCCTGACTTGTACCTCAAAATACCACGAGTTGAAGAAACCAGAGTCCCACATGGTTCTCATGTGCTGCCCACAGGTATTAAAAATAGTAAACAAGAGAATGCAAAAAGGGGTTAAAGCCTTCATTAACACAAATTTCCCCTTTTCCCCCATGGTGTCTAACAGTAACAAGCTCTCACAGTTGACATCTTGCAATGATGCTGAGCATATCTCCTCCTCTCATTTCCAGTATTGATCTAGAACTAAGAAATTAATATGCATTTAAAATATTTCCCCCCCCAACACCACTACATGAGAGTTCTCAATAATGATTGATGTACTTTTAAGTTCAATCACATGGCATTACAGGCAGGTTCAAGTTGGGTCTTGTAATAACATGGGCATGGCAATGTGAAAATTTCATTACAATGAGGATATACTGACCGTAAGTCCCATATACCCAGGTTAAATATACAGTATTCAACGTGTAAATCGAGGATTTCCATTTGAACATGATTGGCCAAGTAAATGAATCCAGGTCAAACAAGTTTAGAATTGCAAGTGATCTGGCTTGGCTTCAAAAGAAAAGTATAGTCTTACATTTTTAATTATAGGAAAGAAAATCAATACAGCTATTTACATTGTAAATATCTTCTCTTCCAGAAAGCATTTCATCTGCTTGGTGGGATAACATCAGTGTACAATATTGGGCTACCAGAGCTAAAAAGTACAGTGGGTCAAGTAGGAAGTTCTCTTTTTTTTTCAGACCCCACGTAATTGGAACAAAAAAGCCCCCACTAGTGTGTGCAATTTGAATTGGTCCTTAGAGTGAAGAAAAATGTCCTTTTCAGAAAGAACAAGTAACGTTCCTATCAAAAAGTTCAACTCCTTTAAGATTTAAATTTCCATTTGTTTTTTGGTTCCGTTTTTTTAAGCAGTCAAAAACACAGTTCTTAATGTGTTTAGTATAACTAATACGACTATTGTAATTAATATTTAAGTTGCCCCACAAAATAAAATAAAAGTACTTACAACCATGTTTTTCCTGACAGGCCAAAATAGAATATATGCATTTCATATACACAGGGCCATTTTCTGACTTATCAGATGTAAAGGTGACATTCATAGCCCCAACTGACATTTCTCTACTTCTGACATACAAAATGGGCTGTATATTCAAATAAACAGCCTGGTTTACATCTGGTCATTCTTTGCCTAACGGGAGTTGGCCATGGCCTGCTCACACAATGAAGAATATCTTGACAAATTCAATCATCAGATTCTTGAAGATTCAGGGTTAATAAATGTCATAAGCTCAGTTTTCTACAATGGGAAGTTATGATGCAAGGCCAAAGATTCACCCCATAAATATTACCACAATGCTCCACATAGCACATAAGCATAACATACCCAAAAAGTTACTAAAGTAGTGGGTTTGCCAGAAAATCATGGAAATTTAACTCTTCCCTGTGACACTACATCCCTTTCTCCTTCCCAGGAAGTATTGGCAATACTCTGGGTAGGACTCCAATTCTTACTGGGGTAAAGTGAAACAGATTCCTCTAAAGGCACTAGAAGAAGGCTGTTTCTTTCTTCATTGTGCCAGCTGTAGGCTCCAAGGCTAGACCTCCACCACAGCCATGACCTTCTTCTCTGGTTTATACATTCAGGTGGTCTGATATCATTAGGACCAATGAGTGTGTCAAGAATAAGAATAAACAGCTTCTTTTTGGCTATATGGTGAGGGGAAATGATGTTTCTTAGGTAAAGCAGTAGAGAATTTGGTAAAGTACGAAATAGAATATCTTTTTCTCACAAATATCTAAATGTCTCACAAATATCTGAATAATAATAAATTACATATTGGTGATACTCAAATAGATAGAAGCAAATGGTGGTCAACTGGGGGAGAAGAAAGATCTCTAATTCCATTGCTGCCACATCATTGAATTAATTAGCAGAATTTAAAGGGTAGGGGTAACCCAAATGTGGCTTCAATCTTACAAACACTTCAACTCTGGTTACACTGTCCTGTTTGCACAAAAGAGACAGGCCTAGAGGCAAGCAACTTCAGATCTTGTCAAAGCAGGAGAAGCCTGATTAGCCTCAGGGGCGTGGGAAGCACTAGGAGAGGAAAGAGCAGACTCTTGCTTTAACCTGAGTGAAAAAACCATCATCACTTTTGCTCCCTCAGGAGAGATGACCATATTGTGAAAAGAAGGTTAGCACTTCCCTGAGTGGTCCACTATGAATTGACTATGGATACCTCTCTGGAGACTCACTTCCCCTTCCCAAAGCTGCCTGTAGTCTTCACGTTGGATCTTACGAAAGAAAAGTCAAGGTAAAAGAATCAGGATGCGCAAGTCTCGGGTATTAAACATGGAAATGGGTCAAAAAGGAAGAGAGATGAAGGAAGGGGGAAAGGAAAAAAAGGGGGAAATTGTAGAGTGGGGCAGACGAAATGTCAGAGAGGGCACCTCTCAGGATATTTAATATACTAACATAGGATGACAGTAGCAGAAGCTTCTGAGAGCATTTTGAATCTGCAGGAAAGGTTGTACCTAGCCATTTATCTTAAACACCATCAGGCCCCATTGGCAGTTGTTATTTCAAGGGCAAGGACTCCCCTGTTGACTATTGCTTAAGAAAATGATAGCTTCTTTATCCCCATTTATTTTTAAGGCAGTTTTGTGGATTTTCTCATTTCCTATTGTTTTTCCATTTATTAAAATGATTGCTTTTGGAAGTCACCCTAACTACGCTGTCTTTCAGTTATCCCAAGAGTTTATAACTTCCTCTAGTGAAATATCACCACCCGAATGAGCACCACAATAGCTGAAGTGCAGAGTAACTGTGGTGATTACCTTACCTACGTGAATAAAAGGAAAGACTGTAACTGGTCCCTGTTATTGCTAAGAAGTCGTCACTGTTATTGCCTTCGTGACATTCAGTAAACTTTACAGGGTCCCTTGAAATACTTTTACAAACACAGTTAATGTAAGGTGATGTTGCTTGACACTGACACTGATACTCCATGGCTTTTAAAAGGGATTTGTATTGCTATAACTATTTTGCAGCCATAACTTCTTCGCTAAGTTACTGCAGACAAGTTTATCCTTATTACCAAAATTTACAACCAGCTGTCCCTTTCATTATTAGGTTAATAGGTCAAGATTATAAAAACTGTTGGAAAAATGGGGGAGATGGGGGAATTACAAAACAGCTCACAGGAGAATTACTTACATCTTTGTGGGAGTTGTCACACACGTACCTGGAGGGTCATGCTACATTTCTCAGATTTCACCTTAATTTGTCATTCTCAAAGGGACAAGGGTTATTTGTTGTTTTTGTTAAAAATAGAAATCCCAGCTGGGTACATCACTAACTGGATATGGACAGCAGCTCATTCGTGGATAACAAATAGAGAGGATCTGAAGTAGTTAAGAAAAGGATCAGTGCTGGCAATAATGAACTTCCTACAATGAAGTGCCACAGAGAAGACCCAATTTTTTTTTCATGGACAGAGTGTTGCTGCCAACATGTATGCACTGATGATCCCAATTCAGCAGGAGCTTTCTGACACACACATTAGTCAGTAGATACTAACCACTAGAAAATGTCCTCTCGTTAATCCTAGTTGAGAGGCTCATGCCCTGGGAGGCAGACCTGTCCCCTACAGGAGGAAGACCTCGGCTTCTCTCTAGGTTGCTTTCCCTCTATGGTGCTTGCACACCTTTCCAGACTGGTCCATTTTCACACCTCCATGATACTGTTCCCCCTATGAAACGACATCACATATATCCTCTCTACAAACTGGTATACAGATAACATTTTAATCAGCTCAAATCTGGATGCTACATTATCTTCAAGAATCTGAGAGTGCTCGCTCACAATTTTTTCCCCTTTTACAAAGCTTCTTATAAGACATACAACTTAATTAACAAACTAAACAGCTTATATGCTGGTAAGATATTACAGACGGTTTATGTCATAGTAAGAGTTCACACGAAATGGACCACAGAGTAACACAGTATGTACTGCATTTGGACAGCACTGAAGACTATCATCTCTATGTAAATGCCGTGCTGTGTGTATAGAGACACATGTGGATCTGTAGCTACATCCATCTGACTAGGCCAAAAGGAGCAGGTAGATGCAAGACAGACACACATGCAGGGGCCACTGCACACCTTGCCATGCCAGTGAAAGGGTGGGTGCAGGTTGCTGGTTTGGTAGCCATTCATGGATACTTTATGGGAAAAGGCTTCTTTAATTGTATGTGAGTGTGTGTGTGTGTGTGTGTGTGTGTGTGTGTGTTGTTTTCTGCAGTAAGCATCACTGGAAGAAGAAGAAGAAGAAAGCAGAGCAATTATAAGTTAAATATACACTTGGGCTGAGTTGCAATACATAGCTCTGCAGAAGAAGCAAGCTGAAAGATTGGTTTCAATTTTAGATGTTGTTCTCTTCCCATTTTCTCTTAATTATCACATCTCACACGCACGGTTGTGCATCTTTCCCGTTTCCTCATCTTCTGAAGAACGCTGGGTTTCGCAGGCAGGCGGCTAGTCACCTGCAACAACCAAGTGGTCCTGCCGAGGTCTCCAAGCTACTATCAGTGTCGGATGCCAGGGTCTGGTCAGTGGACATGGAGGAGATGTCATTGACAGAAGAAGATGGAGGGAGGCTCTCACTGCTGTTCACTGCTGCACCTGTGCTAAGAAAATGAACACAAACATGACTAAATCTGGAATCCCAAGAAGCCTCACTAAGACTTTTCAGAGGGAGCTTCTAAGGAAAGGAAAATATCTAAGCAAGAGGTAATCTTGGGCTAGAGTAGCTTTGTTGGTTTCTCCTCTGATTCAGGCTATCCATAAGCTAGACTATGGATATCCACTGGCCACTATTTAGAGTGGCCACATTACAAAAATACAGATAGTGGGATTTGCTGCATAATAAATATATCAAAGAATCTAGGTTATCCTTGGGGTAAGTCAGAAACCATTGATTGCCAGGGACTCTTACTGCAAGGACAGCTACCAATAGATCTCTTTCAGGTCTTTACAAGTGTTTTTCCTCAAGATAGGGTTAAGCTTACACACTCATTCAGGAAGTCACTAGCCATCATTCATACATTCTTGCAGCCCAACCAAATGGCTTCTTCTGTTAATTTCACTGGGAAAAGATGTTCTTTGACATCAAGAAGCCTGAAGTTGATACTAGTCCTAGCTCTGGTGTTTACCTGACAAAAAAGTCTCCCTTCCATTGGGGCACGAGATTCCTGCATCAGGAAATGTGTTCTAACTTCTCCAAAAAAAATCTTGGAAAGAAGGTTTGGCTGCCTAAATGGTTAGTACCAACCTTTGTCAATAGTTTATGACTAAGACAATGTCCCTCCTGTAAAACCATAACCTACAAACAACTATATTATCACTCTTTTTAAAACCTTTATATATATTTTACTCTCATCTCCTTCAGACAAAAGAAATTTGGGGAAAATGGCCCAGTGAGTTGGAGGAGGATACTAAATATCTTGAGAGGCTATTAATATAGGTAACTACTTTACCTTATGCACACTATAGCTGTCCCAGGTGTCCCATCATTCCACTAACTGAGAGGGAATCACAGTCATCCCACTTCTAACATCAAACTGTCGGGGAATTCTCTCGACCAAGAGGAATGAGGTCTCTTGGGAGAAGTGTACCCATTAGCAAGGGTCCAATGACTGTGGGTCAAATATAGGAAGCCAAACTGAAGGCAAAAACAATTTTAGCATGCAAAGGTAGGCTATTCCCAATAAATAGCAGCTTCAGGTTCCTAGTATACAGACTTGGTTTTAATAACCTTTCAGGCTTCCTTGGAATATTCAGCCAATCATTTGCGTTCTGTGACAATCTAGGCTATATAAGTAAAGCATTTTGCAGGAAAGAGAGGAGTAGACAAAGAAAAGGAATCAGCCAAGGGAGAAAAAGGGAATATGTGGAATGTAGCTCATAGGATTTATCATAAGAAAACATCCATGTTCAAAGGCAGAAGACAAGGAGAAGTGACCAAATACTTGAAACAAGTTATTTTAGCCAAAGCTTCAAGGTCCCTTACCCAAGGACAACAAATGCTTGTTATATTTTATTTCTCTTTCAATAGGAATTGGAACTTTTTAATATAAGGCCACCAGGTAGTTGGTGGGTTAGTCCATCAAGATGCCACAAAATAATTGTTTCCTATCCTCCCCCCCCAAATATTAATCCCATACCTTCCCACCTGTAAAAAAGAAGTGCATATCCTATAATAGAAAATCAAATAACAAGAATGGGTGAAAGAAAAGATAGAATACTTTTTGATTATTTGTATACTTTTGTCCAGACAGACTTGCCCATGTAGTCTGGCTCACCACCAGGAACCCTACATTCCAAATTTATCATTACTATTGATTTACCAGCTACCTTTAAGAAATTCTCATCCTGGGGATGTCCATCAACTGGAGAATAGCTGAACAAGTTGTGGTATGTGAATGTAATGGAATACTATTGTGCTCTAGGAAATGATGAGCAGGCAAACTTCAGAAAAACTTGGAAAGACTTATATGGTCTGATGCTGAGTGAGATGAGCAGAACCAGGTGAACATTGTACACACTAACAGCCACTTTATGCAATGACTGATTTTGATAGACATAGCTCTTCTCAGCAATGCAAGGATCCAAGACAACTCCAAAAGACTCATGATGGAAAATGCTGTCCACATCCAGAGAAAGAATTTTGGAGTCTGAATACATATGGAAGCATGCTATTTGCTCTCCTTTTCTTTTGTTGTTCTGTTTAATCTCTTCATTCTCATGGTTCCTCCCATTAGTTCTCATCATGACTAATGTGCAAATATGCTTAATGTGAATGTATAAGTAGAGCCTATATCAGATTGCACACTATCTTGCAGAAGGGGTAGGAGAAGGAGGGGGAGAAAATCTAAAACTCAAAATCTTATGGAAGTGAATGTTGAAAACTAAAAATGAATAAATTGTCAAAAAAAGAGAAATTCTCATCCTATTCAACTGTAAAAAGAAGAGCTCCATGGAACACAGAAATCTGAATATTTGTTAATAACTTTGAGAACCTCAATAATATGGTCAAATATGGCTATTCACTTATTGAAGAAGATGGAATGGGAACATTTAATAGAAAGTTTTTAAATTCATAACAAGAAGCAATAATCCATTTGTCTCCATTGCAGTAGATTTTAGGACTTAGAAGGTGTTCTTAAAAGAGTCAGACCAGCAAGTGACTCAAGAGTTCTATATTTGGCACATTTAACTCACACAAGTGATGGTGGGAGAATTAAAAAGACCTTCAGGGGTAAAATCACAGAGGTGAGGAGACAGGGATGACAAGAGAAGGCTACAACCACTATGAGAGTAGGAAGAGTTCAATGTTACTCCTTTGTACTGGTGTTCTTAATCACATTTCTTTGGTCATTCTTCCTTGGCATATGGAAAAGCTGAAGTTTTAAGTCTTTTAACAAGGCTGCCCAAAGATTCCCATACAGAGTCTAAGAATAGGTATCTCTAAATCTAGAACAATGGGCTTAAACGCACCCCTCGGACAGCCCAGCCATGAAACATTTGAGGACTGTGGGATTTATAGGGAAAGATGGAATCTTATTGAGACAAGTATAAAGTTTCTAGCAAAGGCAGCCCTTCCTGAAAGCTTCCAGGGATTAATGAGCTAGCTCTCTGGGGAGGAGGAACTACATAAGCAAAGTTCCACATAAGAGAGGAAGTGACAGACAGGAGGATGATACATGTACGTATAGAATAGAGTTATCTTGTAGCAACAATTGCTAGGCCCTCCAAAATGGGGTTTTGGACCATCACAATGATAATATGGAAAAAAGGGAAGGGAGGAGACGAATGAGAGAGGAGAGGATGAGGATGATGAAGAAAGAGAGACAGACTGAGACACAGAATCAGAGCAATTCTTTCAAGATGACCTGGTTTCACTAGGTCTCTTGCTGGAGTCTCTGAGACTCAGTTTCCCTTCAAGTGTATGGCATTGTTGAGGTCATGCTGCTTGCAGACTTCTGTTATTCTCCTCCTTTCAAAATCTTTTACAAATGAAACTGAACTCTAAACTGGTGTTGCCCTTGGCAGCCATGTTTTACTAAATGGACAGGTTATTGTGCATTTGGTGACTAAGACAGTTCCTAAAGTCCTTTTATTTTCCTTGTTGTTGAAGTGGCAATGTCAGAATCAATGTCTTTATTTTTTCCATTTCCCATTTTTTTTTGAGTTGACATCTCATACAGTTGGTTGCTAAGTGTGTGCAGCGATTTCTTAGTTTACTCTTGTAACTAGGAGCTGATTTTTATCTTGCTCTAATTAAGTCCACTTAACACTAATTTAATGACCTAAACTACACACAGAAAATAAGGTTTGAAATAAATGTCATTAACCAGTTGTAAGCTAATTTCACTTTTTGGTGTGGTTTTTGTCCTTTAATATGTTCATTCAGTGCTTTCTGACTCTTCTTGAAAAAAGTATTTATTACGTATGGGCCTGTGTCTTCTGAGGCCTTTGGTCTCTTCAATTTCTTTATCTCAAATTATATTTTCTAATATGGTTTACCCTGCCTTCCCATGTTCCTGCCTTTGGCCCAGAAGTCATGACAGCCAAGGATATGTCGTGTCCACTTGGTTTGGAAGATCTCATCAAATTCTTCAAAGAATCTCTCTCCTTTATCCTCTGTAGATGTCAGCATATAATCTCATAATTATCTTTGGAATGGTCTGTTTGTCATCTTCAGAAAAAGGCAAGATGACCAGTTGTCCCAAGAAATGTTTTTTCTTGTTGCCGCAATAAAACCACATCTATCCATAATTTTTTGCCTCTCTGAGAATGTTTGTTTTGTCCTTCCATTTAGCAGTAAATTCTTTCTATCTTTTGATATCATTTATAATAAGAAATTCAATAGACATATAGCTGGATTTGATCTAATATGTGATTCTTAGAACCACTGTACTCCTTTTCCCATATTCTGCCCCCATGCCTAAAGAAATCAATTTCATTGTTTGCCATATCAAAAAAAAATTAATCATCTAGTGGTCAACCTTCTTATCACAAGCCTCTCTTTATTTACTAGGCTGATCCCTGAACAGTAAACATGTACCATCACTGGGTCTGTGTTTGAAGTTTTTCCCATTTGGTAGAACCTTTCAGAGTCTGCACACTGCTGGTACAGCTTTCAAGAACCTATGATTACCTCTATGTCACGATAAGACATCAGAATAGGATTTCTGTTGAGGTGCATTTAAAATGTGTCAACACAAGATTTTCAGAAATTGTTTTAATAGAAACAATATTAAAGATTAGTACAAGTGAATATACTGGATTAATGCTTATTTATATTTAAATGTAAACTATATTAACACTTTTTTCAGTTACTAAGTCCATAAGTTTCAGTTACCTCTAAGCCCATCAGGATTCTTTGTCCATTCTCCTTCATTTTACTCATATAATCAATGTGTATGCCATTCTTCCTCTTCTGTTTGTTTTTTCTCTTCAATTGTTTCATAAAAGTCGTTCCAGATTTCTTTGTATTTTTATATGCAATCTCACTGCATTATAGGGGTCCATTATACTAATGTGACACTACTGAACCTTTCCCCATTCTTGGAAATTAGGGCCATTTCCAGTTTTGTATAATTACACATGACACTACGAAA